GGGGAGCAGGGTGGCTGGGTTAAGAATAGCAGGAGGAGCGAAGGTTATCCGATCATTTAACAACAAGCTCTGGTAATGTGTCATCCAGGCGTTTGTCATCCAGCGGTCAGGCGGCTGCCGCACAATACTTTCTAAAGCATGTGGTGCTATTACAGTCATATGCTGACCCAGGGTAGCTTATTAGCATCTTTTACAAGTAAGGCTACTGCAGCAATGGCTTTCAAGCAAGAGGGCCACCCGCTGGCAACGGGGTCTAGCTTTTTAGATGGGAAGGCCCCCAGCCGCTTCCAGGGCCCCAGGGTCTGAGTCAGAATCCACCAAGCCACTCCAGCCCGCTCATCAACATATAGAGTGAAAGGCTTAGTCAGATTTGGCAGGGCCAACGCGGGGGCTGTGAGCAGAGCAGTCTTTATTTTATCGAAGGCCCTTTGGTGCTCCTCCGTCCAGGTGAATGGGACTTTTTCTTTAGTGAGTGGGTACAGAGGGGCTGCCAGCATGGCAAACCCTGGTATCCAGGGTCTACAAAAACCCGCAGTTCCCAAAAACTCACGTACTTGTCTAGGGGTGGTGGGGGTCGGGATCTGCATCACAGTCTTTTTCCGTGCTTCAGTGAGCCACCGCTTCCCTTCTCGGAGAGTGTATCCTAGGTAGGTCACTTCCGAGCGGCATAACTGGGCTTTCTTGGCAGACACCCGGTACCCCAACTCACCCAATTCCTTTAGGAGCTTTCTGGTCCCGTCAAGGCACAGTTCCTGGGTTGAGGCTGCAAGCAGTAAATCATCTACATACTGCAAGAGAGAAATCTGGGGGTTCCGTGCCCTGAAGGGTGCAAGGTCATGGTGGAGCGCTTCATCGAAAAGAGTCGGTGAATTTTTGAACCCCTGTGGCAACCTAGTCCAGGTCAGTTGACCCGTATGTCCTCCTTCGGGATCTCGCCATTCAAAAGCAAATAGGGGTTGGCTATTCGGATGTAACCTGAGACAGAAAAAGGCATCTTTCAAATCCAGAATGGTGTACCAGGATCATTCAGGCGGTAAGGAACTCAGCAAGTTGTAAGGGTTGGGCACAGTTGGGTGAATGTCTTGTACTCATTTATTGACTTCTCTCAAGTCCTGGACAGGTC